ATATAGCATATGCGTATCTCATGTAGCCTGTTTTCTTGTTTTTCAAAAACATTATTTTAAAAGAAGTGAGCATCTCGATCTGATTGTTGACATAGCTTCAAAAATACTCATCATTTATAACTGACACAGTGACATGCATTTGTTTTGGCAGATCCTGAAACAACAACGCTGAAAGATGTGCTCATCTCTCTACCCGAGGAAGCATGCGGGCCTGCTCACAACAACATCCGACTCCACACTCTTTAACAGATTCTGTCTGCACAATTCCCCTATGAAGGAGAAGTATTATCCCCATTTTGCAGATGGGAAGCTAAGGCCAAGGGCTGATCATCTTCAGCAAGCTCACGCAGGAGACCAATAGCTGAGCCATTAAATGAACTGATGTCTCTTGAGTACCAGCCCAACATCCTATCTACCAAGACTTCTTTCTACTTATGGATAACAAGTGATTAAAGCGCATGCAAACTAAAGCAAGTAGTGTTAATTTTTTGATTCAAGACATGCAGATGTCTATCTTTACCCTGCTTGATTCAGCTAGATTTCAGGGCTCTTAGGGAACAACCCAGAGCACTTGACCTGCTTCTTCAGGGCACCTCAAAAGATAGATAAATTCAAGAAATTGTGCATATGTGAGAGAACGTCCAGCTCATCAATGGATGGTAGAAAATTGCTCAGAAGTGCCATTATTAAACTTTAATCTTTTATTCTTTGTTTCTCAATAAAGAGCATACAGCTGGGCACCCTGAAGAAACTTCTACAGAAAGGGACCAAGTCAATGGGCCTTATTGCTGGCTCCATTGGCGATGCATAGGGGGTGCACATGGGTGCACGTACACCCGCTTAGCTTGGCAGTGCACCCCCTGCCAGAAGCACTGCTGACGCTGCAGGTGGTGCCTGTGGGCGGTCGCTGCCCGCCACCCCACTGCCAACGGTGTCGGCAGCTGGTCACCCACCAACAGTTGGCACTTGCCGCCTCCCCCCGCCACCAACACTGCCACAGCTGCCTGCAGGAGCTCCCCGTTTGGCCTGCCCCCACTGCCGACCCCACTGCTGCCTGCTGGCAGTCGCCGTGCCCACCCCAGCCCCGGAGGCACACGGCATTCACGGCCAGCTCCTTTTAAAATACAGGATGGGTGTGCCAACCTCCTTCAGCCAGAGCTCTGAAGCCCTCAGAGAGAGGATGTCCCAGTATTATACTACTCTTAGTAAGATCCTGATTCAAATCTCTCTAGAACATTGAGACCAACCCTTATGCATACTGCCTTGGTAGCTGTATCATTCATCCATTTTTAATAGGTCATACAGTCCAAAGTTGTGAACACTATGGCCAAGTACAGACAGTCAAAAAGCCTGAGGCTGAATTGGCTCAATCTTCACAGGTTAGTCTAAAATGTGTAGACTGACCTGATAAGCAAGTGAACAGACATTCACTTTTGATGCCTGTAGTGGCCCAGGCCAGAAGCCAGGAGGCGCTAGCGCATACCTCCCTGCCCGGCTGGAGCAGGCAGCTTGGGCCAAGGCCAGTCTGCCCACCCTGCAAGGGCGGAGAGGGGGTTGGGTTGTGGGGGAGGTGCAAAGCATCCTGGGATCCTGGGGGACTGTGAGTTAAACTTGAGTCTGGGGGGGATCTGGGACAGAAGTTCAATAAACCAATATAACCTAAATCAGTGAAGTCAGATACTACATCCATCCAAGTTTATCTTAAACACGTTTTGGCCATTTTGGAAGTGGTTTATGTGTACTGAACTTCTGTTGTGTTACAGATGTGATCACTTATACCAGTTTGTGTGTAATTTCTGCCCCTAGTCTTTGTCCTATTGCAGGAACAAGCCCTGAGCCAATCAACAAAACTCTACTGGATTTAGAAAGAGCCATTTCTCTTATTCACTACCGTGTCATACAAGGACATTTCCTCAGGACTGGGGTAAACACCATTGGCTAGCATCACAGACAAAGAGCAGATGATACTGGTATGAATAAGAGTATAAATATAGACAGATTTGAAAAAAAAACACTGTAAAGGAGGCATACGATAAAGTTTAACCAATTTACAATGGATAATAACTAAACTAATTTTGACACACTGATAATCACTGGTGTCCATCAACGCAAATTAGAACTTTTTATAGCTACACTACAGAAGGTGACCTTTAAGACCATTGGCTTTGATTCACAGTTAGCTTTAATCCATGGTAAAAAAGAACAGCTTACTCTAAGTGCATAAATATGATCATACTCAAGAAAGTAGACATGGTGGCTTCAAATCTGTGTCTGAATATATCTCATTGTGACTTGCAGGCTACAAAAATCAAACAGCCTCAAAATCCTTGCCTGGCAACTTCAGAGCACAAAATATTAGTGCCAATGACTGATGCATACAGTATTTTCTTCACCATGCAAACTGAAAATATTGATATTAAATATATTTATTAACTCATGTATTTCAAATGACAGGACTGTCTTGGCAACTGCAAGTGTTCATGTGATATTATTGCTGGACTGTTTTAAAAGCTATGGAGCTGTAAAACCCACCAATATGCCTCTTGTTGGTTAGACTTTTGTCTACTCTATGCCCACTCCAAAAGCAATGTCCTAGATTACAACTGTGTTGAAAATGAGGACAATTTCTCAAACACTGCACTGGTACTGAAAAAAATTAACACAGTGCCTTAATTCAAATATAGTAAAGTCTATACAAGGCAAGCACCATATATGATTTAGTGCTAAAACATGTAATATTTATTTTACTACTATGTGCTATAAAAAAAATGGGAACTAAAAATATGCAAATTCAAACAGCACAGTACATCTTTATTCTGAATAACTGGAGCTACACGTTTGTGTCTTGCAAGCTAATTATAACATAAATATAGTTCTTTAATTAATTCAGAACACATACCTCTCTGAAATACATTATAGGGCATACATTTTTATATCCACAAGTATATGCCTTATGTCATTTATATACCATGAAGATTTCAATGGGGTTCTAGTTTCCCCCCTCCCCCCTATAAGTCTTCTCTAAAATTATCTACAAAAAGTTTGCTTGTCTCTTGATTGAACTTACTTTTCTTTGGTTAATTTTTATTTGTAGTAGTAAAATATATTTGGGGGAGACTGAACTAAGAACATACACGATGACAATACGTGGGGCTCCATTTTCAAAAGTAACTAGCCGTTGTGAATATCTTAGGATAATTTGAAGGTGCCAAATTTTTAGACTGCAGATGCACAGCACTAAAAATTATACCTCTCAGCTCTCTGAAGCTGTGCAACTAAAAACCAAGACCCTGACAACAATCACTAGTCACTTTGGAAAATGCAGACCACGATTTTCAAGGCTGCCAAGCTGGGCTTATATAAACACCTTGTAGGACAGGCCTCTGAAGTATTGTCTAAGGAGTTTAAGAGATTTAGCCCATAATTTCCTCTCACTTTTCCCACTGGCTATTCATAAGCAGTTAACAATAGCAATTAGAGTTTGCTGACACAATAGTGAACAGAGCATTGACCACTGTACAGACAATGCTCTCGACACTGCCTTGTTTAAAATTCCAGACTCCAGGACATGTTTTTTTAATCCCCTCTGGACAGCCAGTTTGGACACACATTATTCAGACTTTCTTTACCGGACATGTCAAGTACAAAAAAAGATTCCCAATTTAACCGAAAGCAACAAAACTTGTGATTAAGTAAAGCCTCGAGGTCTCAGCATTCACCTACAGCTACTGCACTGCTAAGTACTTCCAAAGTCCACCAGGAACAAAGGGAAGAGAAGAAATCCAAGGAAAAACACTGAGCCCATGAAAAAAGTCAGAAGAAACTTTAATTGTGTTAACATGGTGGTCACCAACTGGTTGATCTCGATCGACTGGGTCGATCGTGGAGCCTCTGACAGTCGATCTCAGTCGGTCAGAGGTTCCACGATCGGGAGCGGCAGGATGCATGCGGCTGAGCTGAGCAAGTGGGGTCAGAACCTGGGCGGCTTGTCCGCGAGGTTGGGGGGGATGGGGCGGGAGGATGGGGGGCAGGGCACAGTAGATGCTGGGGTGCCAAAAAATGATCTTCAGCATAAAAAGATTGGAGATCACAGTGTTAACATTTCACTCCACCTTCTCATGCAAGGCCATAATGGCATCCCCCCTTGGTATCGAGGCCTCTCCCTACCCCTCCAAGCTCTATCTACTAGATTACCAAAGCCTGTTCTTTAAAGATGCAAGTGCATCAGTAGGTGGGAAATTCATTTCTTACTGGTGGTGATTTTTTTTTTTTTTAAATGATCTGAAGGCTTACTTAAAATTTCTTTTAGAGTTACACGGTGCTAAAAGGGTTAACATTACCTGACCCTGAAAACAGTGCAGCGATGCCTATTGTAGACAGTTCAGGAAAAAAAAAAAAAGTATTGCATGTACTAGACCAATCTACCAAGGAGAGTGATGATAAAAATGGATGTAAAAACATTAGAAAACAGGGCATTAGCTAAAATTTATTATGCTTCTTCAGGTTTTATTTGGTTTTTCAGTTAACTTACCAAAGCCCAATCACCCACCCTTCCACCCGACAATATTAGAATACATCTCTAGTACTGCTTTTTAACCCCCCCCTTGCAATAACTTCCATTTAGTTGATTAATCAGACCTTTTTCATTCTCTCTCTCCTGCTTTCTGGGACTTTCCCACCAAAACAAAGTAAAACTTGACAGTCACTTCACAGGCGTTAGACAAATGTTTAACACGCTACATGAGAAAAGGTTAAGTACAATCACTGCTCATAATCCTGGCTCTTTGGAGGCAGTGTCGTATCTGAATAAATCTGACATCACCTCATTGTAAAGACCAAGAATTTATTATTGTCCAGGTTAAAGCCTGTGCTCCTATCCTTTCTTGTGGCTATCACACGAGGACAGCTCTTTCCTCGCTGAAACAAACATTAAAGTGCCAACATACACCACATGTATAAGGTGTCTGGGGATTACTCTTTAGCAAATATGTTTAACTTACTTTGGCTTCAGTCTCTCCCCTGTGAAGTGTATATAAATGATGTACAGCACTTTGTGATGATGACCAAGGATGTGTCAGTACTTGGAAAACATGGAAATCGTGGCCTAATGTGTCAGTAGTGACCAACAGCATCCCTGGGAGAAGAAAAAGGAGAAAGAAAAGAAAAAAAAAGGATGAATCACTGCAAAAAGTAGAGGTTTAAAAATGCCTGCTTAAAATAGCTAGCATATATTTCACTTTGCTTTCTGGAAATAACAGACAAAAAGGTGTAAGAAAAAAAATCAGAGATCAATTCATACACATTTTCCAGTCATTTTTGAAAACCAAACTTCATTAGAAATCAGGCAATGGCAACCGTGTTGAAGTATTATGGTAGAGTAATACAAGTCAGTTAAACAAGTCTAGGGACACAAACTGAAAGTTAAAAAGTTGCACAACCACTCTGAAGCACAGAAGTTACTGCACATTATGGATTCACCCTGTATAGCGCTCCACTGAGCAAGTCAACTTTTGCTCAGAGCAACACAAGATAGGTTTCTATTGCCAACCTAATTCCCTTTGTTCATGAAAGTGAAAGCATTATTTAACAAAGTAAAAAAAACCCACCCAGGTCTTCCTCTGAACTATCCAAAGGACACATGTTTCGCATGGAGCTGTACGAAAGAAACAGTCTGATTTATTGAACAAAAGGCAAACTGGAGTTTGAGCTTTTGAGTGGAATATTAATTGAAGCATTAACTTCACAGGAAAAAGAAGTCACTAATATATGTTAGTGAAATGATTAAACTAGACTCAAAGATCAGCAAAACGATGATAAATTTAAAGGCTATATATTTTCTTTCCTTCTTTTATTAACGCATAACGCAACTTTAGGACATTTATAGTCACATATTTCAGGCCATCTTGTTATCAGAATCCAATTAAATATACAGTTTATATTAAAAAGAAGAGCCGTTATGGGCAGGAAAGTGTGGCATTAAGGTAGGAATTGAAAGGACAGCAGAAAACACGCACGACGATCAGTTATTCCCCTGTATAATAAAATCAATATAATCTTGCTTATTAATGGAGTGCCATAAATTATCACTGAAAGTGAGACGCCGTTTAAATAAGTTCAAAGTGAAAAACAGTTTATCTGAGCAATTTAACAGATACATTAAAGTGTTTTTTCAATGTTTTGAAAGATCCCGCATCTACAGAAAGGATTTTATACATTGAACAGCCAGGGCATAACTGGAAAAAATGTGAACACTTTACACTGCAAAGGTGTCTATAACCGCTCCATGGAGAAGGTCGTGCTGATCCTCCATTTCAAACATATCTGAAATCCATTTAAAACATATTTGAAATCTCTCTCTTCAGAAAGTGTATTTAAGTCGTCAAATTTAATGCAAGTGTTACTCAAAGCACGAGCGAAGAGTCTCACATTTTTATGCTAAAATAGTTATCTACTTCCCTGAGAAAACTGTTTGAAGTTTTTTGGTTAAATTTGGCCCCAAAGTTGCCTGCTCAACATCCTGGCTGCTGCTTAGCACCAAAGAAGCAAACCAACACAGACCCATGCTACTCGTTGAGATGTCTCCTGGATCCGCAGCAGTGTTCGTCAAGGCTCCTCAGCTCCAGTACAGATCCAGGCTTTCCACGTTTTATTAGTTATTCCCCAGACACAAAGACCCTACCTCTAGAGTTCATGGCTCCTCACAAACCCGGGAGGGCCCTGCTTCCAAGCACACGTAGACAGCTTAAGTTTCAGCAGCCAGAGTTTCCGGTTTTTGAACCTCACGCTATTCAGAGCGGGATTTCTCTATCTGGTCAAACCCGAGTTTATCAGACAAGAGAATGCGTTTCAGCCAAGAGGAAACATGATCCTGTGATTGAGACGGTAACCTGGGACACCTTGGACAAGTCAGCCTGTTTGTTGCCTCAGTTTCTCTCTCTGTGAAATGGGAATAATGCCCTACTTCACAATAGTGTAACGATGATAAATGCATTAAAGACTGAGACGTTCTCACGTGCTAGGACTGTGGTGTAACAGAAGTGCAGAGAAATCCAAGTGGTGTCTGGCACACCAGTCTTACCTGCAAGTCTTCCTTTCAATTTGGCCACGGTAGCTGGAAAAATGGAGGGAAGTCACCACACTTTAGGCACCCCCGCCCCCCAAACCACAAATGCTCCATCTTAATTCTGATCTCAGCAAGATTCTCTCCAACAGACATACTTTCACTGCGAAGGACCCTCGATTCTGAGTACTGGAAATAAAAGGAAGTTTGTTGTGGAGCTCAGGAATCCAGGAGTGCATTTGGATATTATGTTTGGGCAGTAAGGCATGCGAGTTGAGGTTGGTCTGAATGTTAATGTTGGCTTAACTGGCAATTTCCTTGATTTGTAGTGACTGCGTTGATAGGAAATACAGTTAAAGTTGCTCAAGTGCAAGTTCGCCAAGTCTTTAGTGTGGGATATTGCACACAATTTGCATTAATTCTGTTCTGAAAAGAACGTAAGATATGCTTCCCTTTTAGTTAAGCGTGTGGTCTCTAATGACACACCCCATCTTCCACGGAGAAAACTGCAGTGATTTGAATGTCAGTAGTATTCCCTGTGCTAGAATTAGGCTGCCGCAACTAAAGAAGTGACGACGTTCCTGGAGATCTAATTTGGCAAAGCAAACCTCCGTATAGCAAACTCCACAAGCTTTTTTCTTGTCGTTTTGTTTTATTTAGGTAAGCTTTGCGTTTTTAGTTCTCTAGACCTGTCCCTTAATGCAGCTGGAACGAACTCACGGAAGAGACACGGGAAGAGGCGACTATAAACAGGCTTCGTTCAGTAGGAAAACCTAGATCTTTTCCTAAAGTGCTGGAGTTTTCTCTTAAGTCTCTCTCCAGGGCTGATCGCACCCAGAGCTTTCTAAATACAACGGGGGTTTCATCTGCGTGCCATCGCTAGATTCAAAGATTATAAAAATATATATTTGGAATGAGCAGACAACCTGCTGAAGGCACATGCAACACTCACAAGCCATTCAAAATTTAGGAGTGGCCAACCTGTATTCAACCTGTTGTCCATCCAGTCCGTTTCTAACCATGGCCAGTTCCAGAGGTGTCAGGCGGCTCCCTACTAGGCAGACGTAATATAATCTGCCCCATAAAGTTTCATCCTAATCTGTACTAATCCAGGTAAGAATTCATCGGCCAAATAATTTTTTTAAAAACCCCTAGAAAACAAGGGTCCAGGATGTGCTCTCGGGGTTATCTAAGCATTCCTTGGATGATATGTATAGACTCTGAATAAATTAAGCAGTCTAATGCACCCAGTTATCTGAGATTATAATCAGAGCCAGGTGGCGTAGCTGTTTTTGTTCTAATACTAATGTCTTTTTCCTTTACTTTTTGTAATATTTTTATGATTGCTTGCTTGCTGAAGGAGTAAAGAGGTGAAAGATAACAGTGCTAGTGGGAGGAAAGGAGCTGGATCTCAAATGGAAAGAGAGATGGTACCTGATCTGGCAGTTGTGCTGCTCAACCTACAATTCTGCCGTGTGTCACCATTTGGAGCAAAATGCATTTCATTACGCGAGGCCCTGTGAAGCCCTTCATTTTATTAGTGGCTTCTTTTCAGAAAGTGAAAATATATACACACCTATATCTGCATTTGATATACTGTACAACTACATGTTTGCTTAAACCCTGCTGATGTGCCGGTCGCAGGCACAATACCGCAGACATGCTAGGCCAAAGTACACTTTTATAAAGACGATTAGTGTTCTTAAATATCTTCCTTATTGTTATTCAAACAATAAATCACTGAGGTTTTGGACCCTTTGCCTTTTTGCGTGTGTGGTATTTTCCATCTCTCATTACTTCACACCGAGGAGCTCCGGTTTTCAATTATCGCAGCTCTACTATTTATTTTCTCACTCCAGCTCCATACGACAAAAGTACATTGTGCAATTCCAGAGCACCACGGTGGAAACATGTAATCCCAATAGAGAAATAGATTAAATTTAAACCTTAATGACTCCTTCAGTTCTCTTTCAAATGCAGGGTATTTTAAATTCAGATTTTAAAGAGACCTTTCAATAGCTTCTCAAAGACTTGTTTAGATGGAAATATAGGTTAGCACTGTCATAAGTTCATGCCAAAAATGTATTCTCTGATGATGTACTTTATGTATGAATAATCACAGATGAAAAGTGAATAATTCTCCAGGATTTCCTGCTTGTTTTTCAAACTGGCATTAATCCCTGTTTAGCAGATAACATCTGAAACCAATTCAAATTCTTGCATACACATAACCCGGTGAGAATTTATGTGTAAAGCAGATATTACTTTGTATGCATCTCTCTGCAAACATTTAGATTTTCTTATCCATAATGTGAAGGGTGCAGCTAGGTTAAATTAATGACTGCGTTTTACTGTGTGGTTTTTCAAATCCACAGAGATGATTAAAACATTCAGTTTAGAAGGAACTGATATGCTGGACGCATGAAAAAAAAATTACTTTAGCTTTGTTTTAGCTGACAGATACATTCGCCTTAATTTACAACTTCCTATTTTTCACGCATAATGTTTGGGAAACAATAAGCTTCTTTCAGGAAAAAGGAGTTTGAAAAAAAAAAATACAGAGAATATATACATAAAAGGAAAAACTGGTACAGATGTAGACTGTGGGCTAAGAGCTATTTATGCAGTATCAGAAGACTAAACCAGACTCTGGCCTGGCCATAAACTAAACCCACGCCCTAAATGAGGTGCCAAGCCACAAAAAGCATTTGCGTCAACTGGGAATACAAGGAAAAGAAGGACTTCTAATTATAGGGCCTGGAAGCGGAAGCCTCGAGTGATTAGGAGTTTAGGCGCTGCTGTATGTTTATCTGGGAGCTTCCTCTCTCTCTCTCTCAGCCTGGGTTTGATAGATGAGGGTTGGCCTAGAGGGTGGGATTGAAGTTGCTGATGGTACACAGAGTTCTCCAAAATCCTAGGGAGACACAGACTGTATACTAAGGCTTCTGTGGCCTTGTAGGAACATGAGTCTTTTCAACCAGGCGTCAGTTGGTTAGCCCCAAAAGCAAAATTAGAGAGTAGCAAATCTCAGTTGGGTACTTGCTATAAAATGGAGGAAACCCGAGTAGTTTCAA